TGCCCAACCATTGTGGGTTCTCTTTTTTTTATTGCAATCATTTTTTTGTTTTTTTTACATAGTCTGCATACTTTTTATTGTTATTCACATCAAGTTCTTTTTATATCTGTATTTTTACTTTCATGTGTATTTTTTGCAAATGTTGTATTTTTATCTTGACTGCATATTTATTCTGTTTGTATTGTTCGTATTGTTTCTATTTATCATAGTACATCAATACCCTACTCTTTTGGTTGGATGTTTTAATTTGTTTTGATTATTTGGTCTTAGCAAAGTCGATTATGTTATTTTATATGGAACATAGATGTCTTGAAAGAATGTATTCATTTAATGCCTCAATGGGAGTAACGTGATTATGAACCATATATAAACTCCATTGAAACACATAACATCAACAGCCTTTGAAGAAGTGGCGTTATAGGTCATGAAACGCGTATGGCAGCTAAACAGACAGTCTCGTGGCGAAAACTCGCACTGGAACGCAGGAGCGGCTTTTCCGGTTCTCCGGTGGAACGCACGCATTGATCACCAGTCTGCACTCACAACCAACGTGCTGATTCACTACTTTCAACCCGGCGAAAGTGATTCCATCTAAAGGGACTTCATGCTTGCAGCTTCTGGTGTTAGGATTACTGCATTTCCACAGATATGTCTGTCATTCCCAAGATCCTATTTCAAGACATCATCTAATACAAGAGCCCACTAAATGGTCAGGAATTGTATATTATATAATCTTTTATATTTGCCATATTTGATACCCTAAAATGCTACACTATATTTGATTTTTGTTCCTTCTATTTTTCATATTACTAAGAACTTCAGTTGAAAGTGCTGCTTCTCGTCATGCATGCATTCATTTGGGGTAGATCTACTAAACAGTAATAATTAAAATTTATTTTATTTTAAGCGTGGAGTGGTATTTTTACTTTGTCTAATATTGTGTCTGTCTGTCTTTCTTCTGTGTATATACAGATTAATAAAAAAAAATGCACATTTGTAATGTCATTTAAATGATTGTTACAAACAGTAAATTTCATTAGCAGCAATAGCAGAAGGTGACATTTAAAAATAGCCCTGGAATTGCTTCTGACTTGTTAGGCTCTGCATATTTAACCCCTTGCACTCTAACCATAAGCCTATAGACAGATACACCGTTTTGGAAAGCTAACAACATTCTAAAGAGATGAGACTCCACCACTTTTTACCCATTGAGAGCATCCTGGATCGGCTGGCCCAATGCACAACCAATAGATGATAACTGAGTAGACTATACATATCTAAGAGGTCTATACCCCATGAATGTTGTATTTAAAAAATATATGCTTAAAGCATCTCCTCCAATATGGGGAGGAGGGTGACAAAACAAAACACTTAAAGCGGCACTGTCATGCCGAACTTACCTTTCCTCAATCTCTTCCTCTTCTCCCCCTCTCTCAGGATCTTTTCTTCCTGTCTTCTTTAGTTTTCTTTAAAATCATAAGACAAAGTAGGGACTCTTTGCCTTATGGAGGTTTCCTCCCCTTGACCAGCTTTGACCAGCGGAGGGGGACATACTGTCTTCCTCCCCTGGCCCCCACCCCTGAGCGGTGGGTGGGGGCCCTATAAACAATAAGGGGGGACCTACTATCCTCCTCCCCGGCTCCCACCCCTGAGCAGTGGGGGCCCTAAAAAAAACAATAAGGGGGGGACCTACTGTCCCCCCCTGGCCCCACCCCTGAGCAGTAGGTGGGGGCCCTAAAAACAATAAGGGGGGGACCTACTGTCCTCCCCCTGGCCCCCACCCCTGAGCAGTGGGTGGGGGCCCTAAAAACAATAAGGGGGGACCTACTGTCCTCCCCCCGGCCCTAAATAAAAATCCCCCCCCAATCAAGGTGACTAGGGGTCCCAAGCCCCTAGTCACCCCCCACCCAAATAAAACTATCCCCTACCTACCCCTCTCACTCTAAAAATAGTGAGGGGGGAATAAAATAACTAACCTGTAAACAAAAATTAAACTTACCATTTGACGTCTTCTTTTTTCTCAAATCTTCATTTTTCAGCCCCCAAAAAGGCCAAATAAAAAGCCATCATACCCGTCAAACTTAAAATAAAAGAAAAAAGCCGACGCTAAAAAAATTAATCCATCTTCACCCATGGAGGGCTCCGCACAGACTGAACTCTGCAGGGCGGGGGAAGGCTTATAAGCCTTGCCCCGCCCTGCAATTAGGCTAAGAACACTCTGATTGGGTGGCTTGAAATCCATCCAATCACAGTGCTCTGTGTCATTTTACACAGCATGGGAAAATTCCAAAGAACTTTCCCACTCTGTGTAAAATGACACAGAGCACTGTGATTGGATGGATTTCAAGCCACCCAGTCAGAGTGCTTTGTGTCATTTTACACAGCGTGGGAAAGTTCTTTGGAATTTTCCCACACTGTGTAAAATGACACAGAGCACTCTGATTGGTGGGCTTGAAATTTAACCAATCACAGTGCTCTGTGTCATTTTACACAGCATGGGGAAATTCCAGAGACACAGAGCACTCTGATTGGCTTAAACCAACCAATCAGAGTGAATAAGAGAGATTGGCCCTATTTTGGTCCTTGGATGTATATAATTGTGAACAGATAAGGGGGTAACCCTAATATACTAAATGACAAAAAAGAAGAATAATCTGTCACTAGGTTCAATGAAAAAAAGAGAATATAGACAAAATACTTTATTAATAAAACTAAAAACAGTCACAAACACCTGCTCAAACACTGATCACTGCTATCTAAATAGTGGATAATCAAGATAGCAAGTGTGATAAAGTGATATACCTTGAATGAGGGGTAAATAAACAAACAGGAATGGGAGTGAGATAAAATGCAATAGATAAATAAATAACCAGACAAGAAAAAGCCCCAAAAGGAAAAAAGAAAAAAACGTAACCGAAAATAATATTAATGGTAATAATTTACCGTATATACTTACAACTTACATTGCCATAATACAGATCAGGACCGCCGGGCTCATTACAAGCCCGGCAGTCCTGTTGGGGGCTGGCAGCGAACTGTAACTTATCTTTCCTGCAGCTCCTATCAGCTCCCTTCTCCTCCGTGCCTGTCAGCTCCCTTCTCCTCCGTGCCGGTCAGCTCCCACTGTAAGTCTCGCGAGAGCCGTGGGGTCAGAGCGTTGCCACGGGTTACCGTGGCAACGCTCCGCGTGGCACTCAGACCGCGAGACTTACAGTGGAGGAGAAGGGAGCTGACCGGAACGGAGGAGAAGGCAGCTGACAGGAGCTGCAGGAAAGGTAAGTAAGAACTCGCTGCCAGCCCCCCCTCCTACACAGCCCATGCCACTAGACCACCAGGAAATGAGAACCCCCCTCCCTGGCCATGTATCAAGTAGGGAGGGGAGACAAAAAAATTTTTTTTAAATAAGAATATAATAAAATAAAAAGATATTAAAATAAAATAAAAATATTAATAATATTAAAAAAAAATATTAAAATAATAATAATAATTCAAAAAAATAATACAAATGCCCACCCCACCACCAAGGTTACACACCCTGCATCACATACACAGACTGCACTCATACACACACTGCATTCACACACACACACTGCACTCATACACACACACACTTCATTCACACACACACTGCACTCATACACACACTGCACTCATACACACACACTGCACTCATACACACACTACAGTCATACACACACACTGCATTCATACACACACACTCTGCATCACATACACACACACACACACACTGCATTCATACACACACACTACACACACTGCATTCATACACACACTGCATTCTGTATATACACAAAATAAATATTCAATTAATGTAATTTTTTTGGGATCTAATTTTATTTAGAAATTTACCAGTAGCTGCAGCATTTCCCACCCTAGTCTTATACTCGAGTCAATAAGTTTTCCCAGTTTTTTGGGGTAAAATTAGGGGTCTCGACTTATATTCGGGCCGACTTATACTCTAGTATATACGGTAATTGATCTCGATAACTGCCCTTTTTTCCTTGAACTTGATACAAAATCTTCAAAAATACGATTTGGGGAGATAGCTTTGGATAATAGGAAGCTTTTTAATCTAAAATAAGTAAACATTTCATTACTCGATAATCCTCTTTGAGTCTGTAGTTGTGTAAAGGTAATTATCCTATCATGATAAACATATCTGCTAGGTAAATTAGACCCTTCTGGATCCATAAGGTAAGATTTAAATCGAGAATGTAATATTGCAGTACCTCTAAAGGTGTCTTTAAAAGCAGTGTATTAATAATACCCATTTTTCTCTTTGTTTTGTTTATAGTAATCAAAGGGTCCATTATAATAGAATTAGAAAATTGAAGATTATATTAGCTTTAGTGTACTAATAATCTTAATTTTAGTAATGACAGGAGGCGAATATTTGCATATCTTTCTTTACTGAAAACTCCAGCAGCATAGAAACATAACAACCAATCAGAAAAAAGTTATGATGCCCATAAAAGGCATTTGTTGAGGATCAGTGGGACAGGTGCGGTAAAGGGATCGGAATCCCTTTCCACACACCAATCACTCCAGGCCGACCAGGCAGAAATATAGCCTTTCCTGGTGCTGGGAGCCTATGAGTCCCATAGGAGGTCTTAGTTGATGCAATAGGTCGTGATCTGACCAGGAGCCCCTGAAGCCGTCCAGGCAACTAGTGCCAGTTGTCCTTCCATGACAAGGGAGTGGGCTTCCCCTCGAGGTCCCGTCAGAAGTAGAGGGAAGGTAGGGAGTAGTAGAGGGTCTTCGCGAGACATCTCCAGGCGATCCGGGAAATCACGGTTGGCCCTGCCCGAGGGGTGTCATGAGCAGGAGCGATATCTTGTGGGTGTGTGTGTGTATCGAAGCACCCTTGCTATTGTGGAGAACGGCTGGGTCACGTTTGCAGGGGTTCATCCATCGCCCCGTATCCGAAGGAAGAGTCAAAGATCGTTTTGCCAATCCAAGTTTGTATGTGAAGTAATCACCATCGAAATTCCATCCTCACTTCCGCTGACAGTGGGATCCAGTGGTCGTATGAGTGACCGGTGCGTACGTATCTCACCATCAGTCGTAGTGGGCCAGGGAATAACGCTTGTATGGAGGAGGAGAGGAGGAGAGGAATCCCACAATCCGACAGCTATCCTTATAGAGGCGCTCTTTGCCGTAGACGGACGCGGAACGTAGTTCTCCAAGCCGATGTCGAAACCGAGGAACTGGCCCGATTCAGATGGAGAAGCGATCTTTGTCTGTGTACAACAAAAACCCATGGAGTCCCGAAAGTGAACGACAAATTTGTCTGCAAACGTAGCCTGGATTCGTAAAGAATCAGCAAGTCTTCCAGGTATACGAGGCATCGCACGCCCAAATTTACGGATGTGTGCCCTCACTGGTTACAGTAGGTTCGCGAGCACCACGGAGTCGTAAACTGCCGTGTTTGTCCTCACCATTGGAATCGGAGGAAAACTTCGGCAGTCCAGGGCAACGGGTACTGACAAGCGTGCGTCCTTGAGGTCCAGATGTGTAAACCAGTCGTTATCGCCTAGGAGGTCTTGTAGAAGACGAATTTCCTCCATCTTGCAGCATTTGTATACCATGTAGGAGTTCCCTTGATGTAGTCTCCTGGCTTCTTCTTGACCAGGAAAAATTTGCTGGGGAAGCCTTCCCCTCCGGTGCATGTTGAATTGCGCCACTCCTGAAGAGGGTGCAGATTTTCTTGTCCACGAGGCGTTCCTGTTCTGCCAGCGTGCATAATGGAGGTGAAGGGGCGACCTGCACGGCTGTGATAAAACTCTATGACATAGCCTTGTACTGTCTGGAGAACCCAGGTGACTTTGGTAGTCGTCTCCCAATTCTGTAAAACAGAGACAGGTTGCTGGTCATAATATTGGAAACAGTTAGTTATGTAGGTTGACACACTAATAGATGAAGCGGCTGGTGGCTCGGTTCAGCTACCGACCAGTCCTCCCAGAAACACCTTTCCCCGTAGGGTTGTGGAAGACTTGTTTTAGCGAGGTCTAGGTTTAATTTAGTGTGGTGAATAAATTCACGTGTTTCTTGAGTACTGCAATGAACACTACGTCGAATAGTAGGCCTTGTGCTTTTGGGCCGAATTCTTGTTGTTCCTAAGTCCAATAGTGTGTTGTCGATGCGGCCCAGTACAGATTTACGTCTGTCGGCGCATAATGCGTAATTTACGTTGCCCAGGAGGCATATCGAGCATTGAGACCATTCTTTGGAGGTGGTAGGGTTGAGTTGTGTACCCTGGGGTAACTCGGTCTTGAGGCGTGCGCATCCTTCCATCCCCCGAGGGTTGCGCAGCCAATAGTGTTCGTCCAGGAACGTTCCGTCTTCGGCTACTCTGGTTTAGTGCCGCTACAGTTATCTCTGCCTCAGCCGCCGTCACAGAGTAAGGTTTCCCTAACGTACTTCGAGGAAGTGTGGGGAAGGTCTTGCCGTTCCATTTCCTCAGACGGTGAGCTGTCTTCGTGTCGCTCATCTACCATGTCCAAAGTACGTGGTGGGTAATAGTCTTCTTTGTCGGAAGATTGTGGCGGACGGGTTTTGGATTCCCGGTGCTCCGCCTATTTGGTCTGTTCGATGGGCATCTTGCCCTTGACCTTAGTGGCAGGGGGCTGGAGCCCTTCCCTTGCCGTTTTGACTTGAAGGCTTGTGGGCCTGAGGTCTCCATCAAGCGGTGTGGGGTAGAGTTCATAACAGAACCTTCTCCACTGAGGCCGTTACTGTGGCGTTTATCATTGCCTAGAAATCTTGGGAACGTTGAGAGTGTCTACCATGACTCGTTCCCGTCCTGTTGGGAGATAGTGTGAGGGTCAGCACGTGGGGGTGTTAGACTCCTGGTAGAACTGGGGATCACCCAGGTAAAACGGTTTGAATTGCCTGCTTTAGTATGTCTGAGAGTATGAATACTCGTGCCAAGTGTAGAGGGGTCACCTCTATTAGCTTAATCTGGCTACTGAGAGCCGTGGTGCAGGCGCGACTGACTGGTAGTGGTGTCGGTCTGGCTAGCCGGGTTCACCACAAATGTACGCCAGAGCTGTATGCATGGTTTTTAACTATACAGGCTTATTATAAAGGCGCATGGGGCCTGTCTCCATAAGGTCTGCAGCCGCAGGACCCATGTCTATTAGGCTGGGTTCATCCCAGGTGGTGTGCCATGGTAACCCAGAGGACACCCATATTATAATTATTGGCACCTTACAAGCATTGCATGCATATCTGGGGTCATCCCAGGTGGTGTGCCATGAAAAATTACCCAGAGGACACCCACGTTCCATATGTACACTAGGCACAGTAAATATACATATATGTATCCCTGTGAAGGGTACACCGCAATACACTCAATTTTCTTAGTGATCCTGCCGTCAAATCGCATCCGGCATGGTACTGTTGCTTTAATGTAAAACTGACAGGCAGTGTTTAACCCCTTAAGGACACATGAGATGTGTGACATGTCATGATTCCCTTTTATTCCAAAAGTTTGGTCCTTAAGGGGTTAAACATCCATATATGTCTGTAGTAATCAGTGGTAAAGTTGAGGCGTAGGCCTCCGTTTATATGATCGGGGTTCACCCCGGGTGGTGTGCCATGGTAACCCAGAGGACACCCACATCAAAGGTAATGGTCTGTCAGTGACCTTGCATGCATATCTGGGGGGTCACCCCAGGTGGTGTGCCATGAAAAAATACCCAGAGGACACCCACATAAATTTGCACCGTCAGGTACAGTAATATAATATGACCCTCTGTAGGGTACAATAATATAATATAATATGCCCTTTGTAGGGTACAGTAACACAATATGCTCTTCGTAGGGTACAGTGATATAGTTGATCTTGTTATAGGTACAGTATATGTTTTGTATAACGACTGTGATATTGTATGGCTTCACAATAATACATAGATTGTGTGCCTGCTCAACATATAATCATCCAGTGTAAGGCACCATGAGAGATATATCCATGAGAATAAAAAATAATAATTGTATCAATAAATGAATGTGCCCAGAGAGGGGGACCCCTGAAGGGGTTAATCCAGGTGCAGGGCGCGGTGATCGGGTGATTCCTGTAGGGTGTAGTAATATAGTATGACCCTGTGCAGGGTATAGTAATATGGTATGACCCTGTATAGGGTATAGACCCTGAGTAAGGTACAAAGACATAATCTCCTTTAATGCCTTGGCAGTCACTGTTTGGCAGACACTGTTGGCAGGCACTGTGGTAAAATACATCGAAAGAATACATGGAGAAAAAACTGAAATCCAGCTTGCACTCTCCCATTGTTCACTTGGGAGAGCATACACTTGTGGAGCCCGGCTGTCGGGTGAGTTCCCGATCCGCCGAGCGAGCAGGGAAGGCGGCCGTCGGGTATCTCGTGAGCCGTGAAATCCAAGATGGCCGCCGCCCACATGTGAAGGTGCGCCGCGGATCGCGGTCGCGCGTTGCAAAACAAAGGGGATAAATGCAACACAAACGCTGACCCCAGCCTCCCTCCAACCGTCCCCATACAGTCCCCTGTGTAAGTGAAAGGGGCCGGTCCGCGAGGCAAGCGCGACACGGGTAGTCGTTGTGCCCGCGGATACCAGGCAGTAAGGTGGAAATAAAAAGGGGGAAAAAACAGAGGGATACAGTGAAGGGACAGGAATAAGGGGGGCCAAGGTAGCAGGTGTTAGCAATAAATAGAGTAATATATAGTGGTATGACAATCAAAAAAAAAAAACAGTGTAAATTAAGAATCTACCAGAGAGGTAAAATACTCTGACCTGATGTATGGCTGGAGCAGCAAAGAAAGAGGAAGTGATGTCATAGACAGGACCTTTTATGGGCATCATAACTTTTTTCTGATTGGTTGTTATGTTTCTATGCTGCTGGAGTTTTCAGTAAAGAAAGATATGCAAATATGAAGCCTCCTGTCATGTGGTAAAATTTATAATACATTAGTATGACTTTTATCGATCCATATAATATTTGTGAGAGAATATGGCATACATTCTAAACTCTCCATTTCGAACCAGGTGGTGTCAAAATAGGATGGAATAGACCAAGATAGTACATGTGTAAGCATACATGCTTCATGTAAAATAAACAGGTCTGGAAAAAATACCCCTCCCTTTTTTTGTGTAGAGTAACAATTTTATTTGAAATTCTAGGCTTCCATCCATATAAAGTTAGAGAATTATTTTTTATATTTATGAAGTATGGTTTGATTTACTTTAAGGGGGATAGATCTTAGCAAATAGAGAACTTTTGGTAGTATGTAGGCATATTAAGTTGATTCTTCCTAGCCACAATATTTCTAATCCCTTCCATTTATTAAATAGTTATTTAATTAATTTCAACATGTCTGTATGATATTGTTCGAGAAGAGCTTTAAAGCCAAAACTCAGTTTGATACCCAGATAATCTATGAACTTGTAGTTCCAATTAAAATACTGTATCTTCCTTAATGCGTCCATTTTTCCCTTTTGTATCCATGCTGTCTAGCAGAATGGGGCTTTTTATCTATCCTGGTTTCATATGATCTCTGAATGACCTGATCGCGTTCGGTTGCCATGGAGACGTTACTGGTGGAACGCATGTGGAACGCGGACGTACCCGCGACGTCACTATGACCATTTCCGGTATTTGCCAAAAAGGGCGCGAATTATAAATCATGGAAAATGGATAAATGAAAAACAGCTGCCACAGGAAGATCACTCCTCCAATCAGGAACAAGGAGGATTTACATACCCACTGGATCCACCAATGGACTTTAGGGATTAGCCCTATTTAAGGACGCAGAGAGGGGGGATTTGTATAGGATATGTTCATTTATGTATTGTACATTGATACATTGTTATTGCTTTTAATTGTGGTCCCTGAGGAAGTTCTTATAGAACGAAACGTGTAGGACAACTTTTTTGTTATTTATATCCTATGCTGAAATGTTGACTACACTTTTTATTTGAATACATTTTTTATTACTGAACCCTGACCTGTGGATGTCTTTTGGTGAAACAAGGATCCAGAGGTGATAAGAAATACCAGCTAGCCCCCCATTACATCGGGGGAGGCACCCTAAGAGCGCTTCTATTGTCTACATCCTGTTAGTGCACAAGATTGCTGCGCATGAAATATTGTGTTTTATAACAATATTACACTATGTTTTGTTTTATGTTTTCTCTGTAGATTTACATAGCCATATCCCGAATCTTCTTTGTTCTGGTTAACACTATATATGATATAGGTCGCTTGTTTGGGTAGCGACCTAGGGAGGCTGTTATACGTCTTTATAAGCTAAGTACCATTGCTTTTTATATCGTTTATTTTCTGTATATTGTTTGGGATATACTTGTAAGC